CCATATACTTTCCATAGTGGTTGCACCAATTTACAGTCCCACCAGCAATGTATAAGTGTACCTTTCTCCCATATCCTTCCCAAAATTTATTGTTACTTGTATTCTTTTTTAAAAATATTTTTAAAATTGTCATTGTACCTTTATTTTATTAATTTATATGTGGTGCTAAGAATCGAACCCAGTGCCTCACAAATGCTAGGCAATCGGTCTATCACTGAGCCACAACCCCTACTTGCATAATTTTTTAATCTCTTTTTAAAAATTTATTTTTTATATATGACAGCAGTATGCATTACAATTCATATTATGCATATAGAGCACAATTTTTCATATGTCTTTTTGTACCCAAAGTTGAGTCACAGCACTGGTGTCTTCATACATGTACTTAGGGTAATGATGACCATCGCATTCCACCATCTTTCCTACCCCCATGCCTTCTCCCTTCCCCTCTGACCCCATTGCCCTATCTAGAGTTCATCTAATCTTCCCATGCCCCCTAACCTCATTATGAATCAGCATCTTTAAATGAGAGAAAACATTTGACATTTTGTTTTTTGGTATTGGCTTACTTAGCATGGTATTCTCCAACTCCATCTATTTACCTGCAAATGCCATGATTTTATTCTCTTTTAATGCTGACTACTATTCCATTGTGTGTGTGTGTGTGTGTGTGTGTGTGTACACATCACATTTTCTTTATCCATTAATATACTGAAGGGCATCTAGGTTGGCTCTACAGTTTAGCTATTGTGAATTGTGCTGCTAAACATTAATGTGACTGTGTCCCTGTAGTATGCTGTTTTTAAGTTCTTTGGGTATAAACTGAGTAGTGGGATAGCTAGGTCAAATAGTGGTTTCATTCTCAGTTTTCCAAGGATTTCCATACTGCTTTCCATATTGGCTGCACCAATTTCCACTCCCACCAGCAATGTATGTGTGTGCCCTTTTCCCCACATACTCACCAACACATATTGTTGTTTGCATTCTTAATAGCTGCAATTCTGATTGGAGTTTGATGGAATCTCAATATAGTTTTAATTTACATTTTTCTAATTGCCAGAGGTCTTGAATATTTTTTCCATGTATTTTTTGACCATTTATATACTTCTGTGAAGTGTTTCTTCAGTTTCTTTGCCCATTTATTGATTGGGTTATTTTTCTGGTGGTAAGTTTTTTGAGTACTTGGTGTATCCTGGAAATTAATGCGTTAACTGAAATACTGGTGTTAAAGATTTTCTCCTATTCTGTAGGATCTCTCTTCACGTTCTTGATTGTTTCCTTTGCTGTATAGAAGCTTTTTAGTTTGATATCATCCTATTTATGGACTCTTGATTTTATTTCCTGTTCTTTAGGAGTCTTATTTAGCAAATTGTTTCTTAAGCAGACATGTTGGAGAATTGGGCCTACTTTTTCTTCTAGTAATAGCAGAGTTTCTGGCCTAATGCCTAGGTCCTTGATCCACTTAGAGGCAGACTTTTTGTGCAGTGTGAGTGTGTATATTGATTCTGATTGTAGCAAACTATCTCACTAGAACTTTAAGATAAATTAGTTATACATATTTTATTAGAATTTATGGTTAGATATTACTGTGTGAAACATCCAGTTACTCACTTAGAATATCTTAATATTTGCCACAAATTATAAACATTTTTGTCACATGGTCTGTGTATCCAGTGGGATAGCAAAATTTGATAGGGGATTTCTCAACATTTGCCCAAATTAGTTTGGGAAAATATATAACCATGTTTATTTTATTTGTGTCGATGAACATCCCTCAGTTGTAAAGGAATAAATTTATAGTACAATTGCTTATAAAAATCCATGCATTAAAGGAAAGATGAGAATACTCAGTGGGCATTTTATCTTAGATAATGAGTATCTTGATGTTAACGTATCTTTAATAATAATACAAATGTCTTTATTATTAGCATCATTATCTTCCTACAAGACACTATTTTATAATGTTTCATTATTATTCTGTCGATTAGAAGTGCCAGTTTAAGCACTTGAATTAATTTGATCCATTGGATTCAAACCTAGTTTCAATATGTTTTTTCATTTGCACAGGGAGATCACATTTGACTGGAGGCATTGCTGAGTACCTCAGGACCTTAGGACAATTGATGACAAAGCCAATTCTTGATATTTTTGTACTAAAACTTTTTTTTAAAAAAAGTCTTCAGTCCATTCTAAGTAATTTCAATTAATTATAGAATTACTATAATCATTTATTTCAAGTTTTGTAAGCATTAGAAATGTACATAGAGTAAAATCATTCTATTAAAATGACATTTTGAGGGTATTATGAATTCAGGCGATTTTTAACATGAAGTTTTCAATTCTATACAGATATTTGATGTTTCATTGTTATTCTTTGAACTCTCTATCTAACTCTGTGATTGTGATCCCTGGAGGAATACTTTTTAAAACAAAAAGCCAAAGGCAATAATAGCCACCAGTCAATTAGCTACTTATCATGGTAAAAACATGATTGTTTTAGAAAGCTTGTCTAGTTAAAGAACTATTTTAAGCTTGCTTTTACTATAGTGATTCTCAAAGCAGCAGTTCTCACTCATGGAATTCCTGTTTGAACCCAGGATTTAAGCCAAGTTGTATAACACAAGGATTCCAAAAGATTCCAAAAGCAAAACTGTGACTATTGATATTTAGGATGACAAAGTCTAATTTTAAACAATTTGTTCATTTGAAAAGGGGAAAGGATAGACTATATTTTAATGAAAACATGCTTAAGTATGAAGTCATGTATTGAGCATTATTTATGCCTAGGTTAGCCAGGAGTCTGTTTACTGAATATTTTTAATATCCTCTTCATGCTATAGCACTTTCATCTCATATGTACTTGGATACTTAGTCTCCCATACTGGAGATTGAGGTGTATAAAGAAATTAGGATACTTTTCTTCACTATTTCTGTGGCTTCTAAAATTTGCATATGCTTCCAGCAGTAACGTCAATATGATTAATATATTTTCATAGACAGAAGAAATGACTGTTGAAATGTGATTTCTTCATATACAGTGGTCTTAAGAAACTTAGGGTGTCTGAGAGTGGCTTGAAAATTAGAATAACTAAAATGTGAGGATGACATAGGTGAGACACTGTGCCCTTAGAATGATCCTTTGAGGACACTTGAGTTGATTTTATGTGTCTATGTATGTGATGCTGTGGATTGAACACAGGCTAGCCAAAAGCTCTACCACTGAGCTATATCCCCAATCCTAGTGGTGGATTTTGAAAGAAATAACATTAAATGCAGTTATTCTTTGAGTAATAGCAGTGACTTTGTGTTGAGTTAGCATGGAAACTATTTGCTACCTCTTATAAAATGATAATTTTCCAGTGTAATTATTATCTAGTCTCCTGAGACTATATATCATTTTTAGATTGGTTAAGTCAGGTAAAGCTTAGCACTATTAAGAATTTAGTTATTTAGGTGACTTATTTTGTCTTTTATTTCTGTGCTTAGTTGTGTGTATTTTACACCATTCAAACAAAGATAATCTTAATAGACTTGCAATACGTTCATGCGTTTAATGCCATGCTGAGATTTTTTTCCCAGATGCCAATGTTCATGAATACATTGTCTTTGTAAAAAATGTACTATACTAGTAACTTTTCCCTAAGAGAAAAAAAGTTACTTGTAGTATCCTTCACAAGTTTTAGATCACAGTTAATTTTTTTTTAAATTTATTTGTTTTGGTTTTTGCATAGTACTTGGGATTGAACCCTGGGCTTCCTACATGATAGGCAATTCAGCTAACATGGATCTACACTCCCAGCCCTGAAGTTATATTTTTTAAAGTGCAAAGAAATAGCACAATTGTGGCCCTAGGAATCACTTATACAATTGAGCATCACTCATTTGAGGACAAATGCCTATCAGTGTACTTGATTGAGAAAAAATTGTCCCTTTTACTTTTCTCACATAATTTGATGGTCCCATTAACCACCACACTATTTTTATAATGGAAGCTGTAAACTGCCATACTTTAGGACAATGATAATTGAAGATGTTCTGTACAGGAAGGGTTTATGGATTTGACTTCTTCTTTATTCGTGTAAGGTTTTTACATTTTTTTCTGTGGTGGCTTCTTTGGAAGGTGTACTCATAGAGATTATGGATAGGTAAAGCCACTCCTTAGCATTACTACTCCTTACAGTTTTTCAGTTTTTTTAAGTCCCTGTGACCATTTGAATTAAAATGTGACCTGAGGAACTCAAAAGTAAACATTTTGTTGAAACAAAACAAACAGTATTTCAAAAATGGGGAAGGAGACAAGGCTAACTTAATCAAAAGACCATCACTTTGAGGTTCAGCACACACACACACACACACACACACACACAATGCTACTGTTTTTATTTTATTTATTTATTTTTGAGACAGAGTCTTGCTAAGTTGATGAGGCTGATTTTGAACTTGAAATCCCCTGTTTTAGCCTTGCTGGTTAATAGGATTACAGGCATGTGCCACAACAGTCTGAATTATATCTACTCTTCAAAGTAGAGTCAGCTGGAATTTTTTTTTATGGCTACCTGTTTATCAATTAAGTTACCTTAGGTTCTTTAAAGCATTTTCACTGAATTAAAGAAATTTTTGCATATTTTAGAAGAAGTCTTTATCTTCCTTTTTTTCTCACTTAGTCCAAATTAGTGAGATTTTATTATATATTTAATTCCATTGTGCTGTAGGTATCTGGTAAAGGAGTAATTAATGTTACACATTAGGTAAGAAGCATCAATTGATTTTTGTTTCTATTTGGCTTATCTTTTCTGCTTAAGTGCTGATATTTAATTTGTAGGGAAACCTCTAAACAGGTCTGTATTTTTATGTTTATCATCTTCCCTGAACTAATTAAATAAACACATTTATTGATTTCAGAATGAGTTTTATTAATGTAGTTAATATGCCTTACTAATGTTATTTCATGTACTTGGATTAGTATCATTAATGTTTATGAATAAAAATTTTTCTTTCAGTTCAAAAAAATACAGAACCTTCAGAAATAAAGAAGAGTATACCTGCAAAGAAGAAACTGAAAGAATTAAGAGTTTTGGATCCGAAAACAGCTCAGAATCTGTGTATGTAGTATCTTCCACTTAGGGGGTGGTTGTGGTGATGGTGAGGGGTTGCAAAATGTATTTAAACAAAGTTGTAAATTTTTTGAACAATATTAGTATAGATGGAAACAAAATTCTGTAGGTGGACATGGTGGAACACACCTTTAATCATAGAGACTTTGGAGGTTGATTGCAGGAGGATCATAAGTTCAGAGCCAGCCTCTGCAAATTATCCAGGCCCTAAATAATTTAGTGAGACACTGTCTCAAAATACAAAATAAAAACAGAAAGGGCTGGGGATGTGGCTCTATGGTTAAGCGCTACTGGGTAAATCCCTGGTATAAAAAGAAAGTACTAAACAAATAAAAGTAAAAAAAAGGAAAAGAAACAAACTTCTGTGTAATTATGATTTGGGTTACCTTTTTGTCACTTAGCCACTATAAATAAAAATCACAATTTAGCCTTGTTCTGGAAAGTACTGTTAATAAAACCTTCTTAGTGAATCTTGTCAAACAAGGCAAAGTTGAAAAAAAAGAGTATTAGGTTTTTTTTTCCCTTTTGCTTGAGTCTGGCATTTATAATTTTAGAGTATTCACATTGTTCCCATTCTGCAAAACTCCTTTTACTGCTATCCTTTGCACTTGAGTAATTGTGAGGCCAGCTAGTAAAAATTTCAACTGTTGCACTTTAAGAGAGGTTACTGACAATTAGGGATATAGTTCAGTGGTAGAGTTCCTGCCTAGAAAGTGCCGGGCCCTGGGTTATATCCTCAGCACATCAAAGAAATGACAAAAATGGTAACAAAAATCAAGAAGAAATGAAGAGTAAGAAAGCCCAGACTAATTACTGAACCTTGAAACCTTTACCAAAACTGTCAGCCATTGCTACAGTAGATGGACAGTTAAACTCATCTTCATTTAAGTAGCCCTTTAAGTTTTATTTTGTTGTACTCTTCCCTCTGCGTTGGATTCAGAATATTTTTTGTCAGTATAGTAGACTGTTGAGATTCCAAGTGTACTAAAACACTATGCATGAGAAATTTCAACACATCAAGCGTTTCTAATTGCTTAAAGAATACCATGGGAATTTATTTTGTTAAAGAATGTGCTATAGAGAATCAGATTAAAATAAACAACTCATCATTCTTGTGTCAGTAGGAATGTAGCTGTAAAAAAAAGCAGTGTACTAATAGCTGTTTTGAATTTGTACATTGCTTACTTGGTCATACATTTTCTTTATAAATTTGATGTTCAGTACTTTTTAAAAAAATACAATATGATCTCAATTGCTTGTTGACATCTGTCAGAATTATTTACTTAGATTTTGGAGATCTCCTTTGCTTTTTATGTGTAGGTAATCATTTGCATAGACAGGATTCATTTTTCTTTTAGTACCTAAAAAGTCATATAGACCGTTTCGTGAAAAATAAATCCTATACAACATAATATTGATTAAAAAATAGAAAATCTTAGGTTCTAGTGATAAGAACACATCTATCTATATTATTTGAAAAATATATTTAATGGAGATTAAATCGAATGTGTTGGAAAATACTTTCTTAGTAATTATAAGCTATTCTAGGTATAATTTGTTGAATTATTCCAACATGACATAAAATTTGTGTAATTCAGTCAATGTTGACAGGTGAAATAATGACTTAATGCATAAAGCAACTAACAGTACACCACATGAGTGTCGGCGGGAACGCAGGGTACTTTGATGACTCAGGCACTTAAAATTTTTTCTTGTGTGGGAGAACTGCTAAGTACAGTAGTTCTTCCTTCTCTGCGTGGGATATGTTCCGAGATCTCCCATGGGAGCAAGAACCACTGATAGTACTGTACCCCATATGTGCTATGTTTTTTGTTCATATATATTACGTACCTATTAAAAAGTTTAATCTATAAGTTAGGCACAGTAAAATCTCAACTACAATAATAAAATAAAACAATTATAATTGGCCTAGGGATATGGCTCAAGCAGTAGCGCGCTCCCTGGCATGCGTGCGGCCCGGGTTCAATCCTCAGCACCACATACAAACAAAGATGTTGTGCCTGCCGAAAAACCGAAAAATAAATATTGAAATTCTCTCTCTCTCCTCTGTCTCTCGTCTCTCTCTCTCTCTCTCTCTCTCTAAAAAAAAAATTAAAATTAAAAAAATTATAACAATCTGAAATAAGTGTTATGTGAATGTGGTCTCTCTCTCGTTTTTTCCTTCTTTCTCCAAAAATATCTTATTGGTCCGTGCTCACTCTTTTAGTGATTTTGTAAGATGATCCCTAAAGGAAGCACTTTAGAATTTCTCTTTGGCAAATTGAAATTGTCAGAATCACTATTTTTTTCAGTTTGGGGCCATTTTTAAGTAAAATAAGGGTTACTTGAACATAAACACTGTGATAACATAATGGTAGTTCTTATAACCAAAAAGACTATTAAATGATGAAGGGGCAGGTAGCATATACTTTTGGATACACTGGAGAAATGGATAATTTATACCACCAGTGAGGCAGAAGTGACACTGTAAAATGTCATTGGGCTTCTCAGAACAGCACATACGTTAAGATTTACAAATTGTTTATATCTGGAACGTTGCTTGTATTATTTTCAGACTGTGGTTTATTGAATGTAAATTTAAAAAAAACTGTTGTGGGGAATACCATAATATTGATTTGATTTTTTTAAATGGATAATTTACTGTCATTCCTGAAAAGTACTGTGTTTTTATGGATCATTTTATCAGCTCAACTTAACCTGCCTAAGACATACAGTCAAGAGTGTTGTTTAGCCCTGCATGGTGGTGCATGCCTGTGATGCTAGTAGCTTGGGAGGCTGAGGCAGGAGGATTGTGAGTTCAAAGCCAGCCTCAGCAACAGTGAGGCACTAAAGCAACTCAGTGGAGACCCTGTCTCTAAATGAAATAGAAAATAGGTGTGGGGATATGGCTCAGTGGTCGAGAGCCCCTGAGTTTAATCCCTTATACCAACCCCTGCAAAAAAGAAAAAAACAAAAACAAAATGCTGTTAGTAGTTGTATTTTGTATGTAAATATTCATGATCTATAAACATTAGAGCCTAAGTTAATAGACCATTTTGCCTAGATGGATAGAAACTTATCTATCAAATGGAAACAACTTTTGATTGTTCATAATTCTGTAAATTGGTATGAATGACAGAAGTTTTAATATTTTGAATCTATAAAATGGAAAGCATATAAACCCTATGGCTTTTACATTTATTGCTGTCCTAATGGTAATAAATTCAACTTTTATTTTAGCTATCTTCCTGGGATCATATCGCATGCCATATGAAGATATTAAAAACAGCATTCTAGAGGTTAATGAAGACATGCTAAGTGAGGCCTTAATTCAGGTAAGTTGAATATATTTCTTTTAAAATTTATTTTCACAGATATTTCTGGATTTCCATCTTCTCAATTGAGTTGAAACAGAATAATTTTCTGTTTTAATAATAGTATCAGAAGTATATACCTGTACTGATTAGTAAGAGGAATTATACCCTACCCTTTAAGACCTAGGTTTTAAATCTCTCTGCTATTTATTAGCTACACATCATTTTAAATATAAGCATATGTGTATGTAGGCATATCATTCTCTGTCATTCATTGTACATGAAATTACATGTGTTTTATCATTACATTGGCCCCATTAAGTAGTTATTATTAGCATATTATGGATGAAAATCTAAAAAGTCAAGAGGTTAAATAGCTTGCTCAAAAATCAATGGATAAGTGGTAGAGTTACCTTTTTATTGGGCTGGGAACTTACATATTTTGGGGATCATGTCAATTGCTCTATGTGTTTATTATCTCATTGAATCCTCAAGTAATTCTGTGAGAGCAGCAGCTATCCTTCTTTTACAAAACAGGCAACTGAGGCTTAGAGAAATTGTTGAGTTTCATAATGCTCCTTAATTCAGAGTAGTAGACAAGGGATTCAAAACAAGGTCTATCTTGACATGAAAGTCATTATATTATTCTGGATAAGTTAAAGCTTTCTAAATCTGTTTCCTTATCTGAAAATATAAGGCCCTTTTAAGAATTAAACCAACTAAAGTGCTTTGTAGTATAAAATAGTATGGAAATATAACATATTATTAGAATTCTTGACGTATCTGGGCCTTTCTAGTTTGGTTTCTGGGAATAAGTGCTTCAAATATTTGTGCAAGGGCATAGACACATGTTCCCCCCAACCCCGGGGCATTGTTGTTTGTTGTTGTTGTCTTTTGTTTTTGAGCCATACAGTTTGTTTTTATTTCAAGAGGATATCAAGTAGTTTATGCTACATAACTTAAACAATTTAGCCATAACCCCCTCTCACTCCCTCTAAATCTCAGAGAACTGGTAATAGTTTGAGCAAGCCATGTCTATATGGAAATTCCTCTATTTGGGTGTGTGGGCCTGCATAATGGTTTACCTCAGGTGTTTTTATCTATCTATCTATCTATCTATCTATCTATCTATCTATCTATCTATCTATCGGTACTAGGGGTGGTTAACCACTGAGCCACATCCCTACCCCTTTTTCTTTATTTTGAGACTCACTAATGTTCTCACTAAGCTGCTTAGGGTGTTACTGAGACTGGCTTTGAACCTGTGATCCTCCTTCCTCAGCTTTCCGAGCTGCTGGGAATACAGATGTCCAACATTGCCCACCAGCTGTTGTTTTAAATTTAGACATTATTTTCTATAGGAATGAGGGCGAATGAGTATATTTAAGCTCCTTATTATTACAATACACCTACATCTATAAGGGATACATTTTCATAAGAAATAACTTTGTTGAAACAATATAGATAAATACACCACACAGACATGCCCCTCCCCAACACACACCGTTCCCACCCTGGGGAAACAAGCAAGTTCATCGTTCTCTGAGTTGAAATGGGTAGCTGATTATCTGAGTCCTACATCTCTTAGTTCCAGGATTGTTTGCACAATAATCAGAATGAGCAAGGCATTTGGCTTAAATGTAATTTAATTTTTCCTCTTTTCTTCAATTTGAGGATTTAGCTATAAAATATAATAAGGCAAATAAACTTTTGACTCCTACTCAATAATTGAAGCTTTCTAATCTTCCCTGTATAATCGAATTATACTAAAATAGAACTATATTTTGAAGAATTAACTGACATAGTCATTATTTTATTCACTAAAATAGTATACCATTTTTTTTACGTACCTTGGTAAATGCCAAAAGTATAAATATGGAGAATGTTGCCATGGTATTTATTTGCCAAGGACATTTAAATAAATCTTTATTATTAAGTCACATTTTCAACTCTTTAGGGAATGTAAGACAGGAACAGAGGTTCTCACTTATGAATGTCCCTTACATACAACAACAAGCTTTTAAAATGTATATATTACCCAGGATTTTTGTTTACTATTTCACTTTATTATACACACACACACACACACACACACACACTTCTCTTTAAATTGGATAAGCCTGGTCCAGTTGGGAGAAATGGATTCCTTATAGTTTGGAGATAGCAGTAAATTACATGTAAATTCTTGAATTTGCTAGTTTAATCGTGTCTACTCTGCAGTCAAAACTATTGCTTTAAAATCACATTATTATGCTAAAATTTGAATTGTACTCTAAGAAGGTGAGTGAAGGAGAACCAAGTGTAGCTCCTGCCAGATTACTTTGTACTTCCATATATTTCTTATTTGCTGTGCATGGGTTGACTTGGACCTGTCTCAACTCTTCCTATTTACTATACTTCCATTCACTTTTCTAAACTTTAATATTTTCTTCTCCTTCACATTCTTACATTTTACCCATTTCCTTCTTTGCTACACCAATTTTATGCCTTTTATTTATTTCATGCTGTATCCATCAGCTTCTCATTGCTGAGACAAAATACCTGACATGAATACCTTAAAAATTTTAAAAAAGATTTCAGGTTATAATTTCAGAGGTTTCGTTCCATCATCCACTGGCTCCATTACTGTGGGCCAGAGGTAAGGCAGAACATCATGGTGTAAAGGCATGGCAGAGAAAAACTGCATATCTAATGGTAGCCAGGAAGCAGAGAGAAGGAGAAGGAGCTGGGAAAAGAAATACCCTTCTAGGGCACACCCATATGACCTCCTTCCTCCAACTACGTCCTACCTCCTAAATTTTGTACCACCTCCCAATAATATCATTAGCTATGAATCCATGAATGGATGAGGTCAGAGATCTCATGATCCATTCACTGCCCAAGAGCCCTACCTGTGAACATGGCTGAATGGGGACCATGCCTTTAACACTTGAGCCAGGTGGGGGACATTTTAGATTCAAACTGTAACATGTGATTTCTGTTTACTAGAATTTAGTTTTAAGAGCCTTCTATTTCTTGTCAGTGCCACATAGTCTCAATTTTTTTTCTCATTCCTTACTCCACTTAATCAGAACTCAGTTTTTTCTTCTGCTTACAAGAAGCAAACATTTTAAAATGTAAGATAGTATGCATAATCAGAATTTGGCTACTTGGGTAAGAGACAAACATTGTGTAACTCACTTGAGTTATTAAGGTAAACATTGCTATTATCTAGGTGAACCAAACATCTGAGTATCTTCTGATAAGGAAGATGCTCCTAGGTTGAAACAATTCTATGATTTTCCAGTCCCCAATGAAGAGTGCTTCCTTCATGCAAGAAAACAGACTAGAATCACCAGCGTCTCTCTCTCCCTCCCATCTCACAAATGTTTGCTTCAGTGATGCAGAAGTAACATTAATTTGCCATTCATATGAGCTGTTTACCATTTATGTCTAATTATCATGTAGCACATCGATAATATGTAGCATTAAATATGTATCATCAGATTAACTTTGTTGTAAGTTCTGTTTGATTACAGTGCTAAACTCCATCCATGCATAATCATAGTTTGTTGCTCATGTAGCATGGTTGTCTCCTCATGACAACAAAAACAACAAAAATCAATTAAAGATACATCATTTCCCAGAGACTTGAATTAACTCCAGTATTTTCTCTGCAAGTGTGGGTCAATAGTCACTTCCTTGCTAGGCAACTAATAGATTTTAGTTATTTTGTAGGATAAATGTCTTAAAAATAATTAAAAAACTATTTTATTTAATCAACAAGATCAAGGTAAAATGTTATGGTTATTAATAAAAAAACTAATTTCTCCTTTAGTTCAAAATGCCTAAACTTCAGTGATAAACTGAATTTATCTGTAGAAGAAATTGAAATGTCCTAAACTATTTGCAGTAATACATAGAAACTTTTAAAAGTACACCATATCCTGGGGTTGTTGAGGAGATTTTAATATGTGCAATTATGAATAAATTCCAAAAAATGTGTACTAAATTTAGGTGATCCTTTGCATCATTTTTCCAGCTTTGAAAATCTGCTTCAGTGTAATTTCATTTGATCTGTTTAGAGAAAAATTCAAGATAGTTATTACGTGTGGTATCAGTGGAAAAAGAAATACTTGTAGACACACTTACATATATAACATTGACAAAGAAATTAATCTACCAGTTTCAAAAAAGTGATTCAAGTGTTAAAGGGAAAATATATGTTCTATTAGAGACAATTAGTGCATGCAAATGATTTTTTTAATACCTGTATTTTATTTATTTATTTTTACATGGTGCTGAGGATTGAACCAAGTGCCATGCACATGCTAGGTGAGCACTCTACTACTGAGCCACAATCACAGCCCCAAATAAATGATTCTTAAATGCTCAGGAAATATTGTTTCGGCAGGAACTTTATGCTCATATTCACAAGGCATGTGTAAAATAAAACATGATCCACAGAGAAACTAGTATATTGTTATTACAGAATTGGGGACCCATGGAGAGGATTCAGAAGATTCAGAACTTGGATGTGAAAAATATTGCATCTTTATTTTTTTGCTTCTAATTAATATTTAGTATTTCATTTAATTAAGAATGTAGGTAACAAACCAAAGTAGTATTAGCAGTACTTCTAACTTTGACACTAATAGAAATAATAAATATTTTCATATTATATTCCAGTGATGGCAGATATCTTGAAACATTGTTTACACTCATTACCACTTAAGAATTAAAGTACTTATTAGAGCTGCCACTAGATCTTTTTAATGCTTTAATCATGCACATATGTTATTATATCACTACTTACTTTTATAAATACGGTGATAACTGTTTCAATATAAGCAATTTCTGTTATAATTCTATGTACTTTATTTTATTCTGAGAAGAGATCCCAAAGTGAAATAAGTCCATGACACACAAAAACATGCCAGAAACAGGTACAGTGGCTTATGGAGGGGAACTGTGAGAATGGGCTATAGCTAAGGTGGTCTTCCTGGAAGAAATGCTCTTGAACTGGACTTTGAAGCACTAGT